CACAAGCCATGAAGGGGCCATAGTTTCCCCATGCTGGCTCAGGAATTCTGGGAGTTGAAGTCCACAAGCCATGAAGGGGCCATAGTTTCCCCATGCTGGCTTAGGAATTCTGGGAGTTGAAGTCCACAAGCCATGAAGGGGCCATAGTTTCCCCATGCTGGCTTAGGAATTCTGGGAGTTGAAGTCCACAAGCCATGAAGGGGCCATAGTTTCCCCATGCTGGCTCAGGAATTCTGGGAGTTGAAGTCCACAAGTCATAAAAGAGCCAAGGTTGCCTACCCCTGCTTGACTGGCATGTGCCAATGTTTCTCAAGCATGGCAACTTAAAAGATGTGTGGACTTCAACTCCCAGAATTCCCAGTCAAAATTCTGGGAGTTGAAGTCCACCTATTTTCAAGCTGCCAAGGTTAAGAAACACGGTAGTAACCAATAGTGTAATCTCAAGAGTAGTGGTTTTTACAGTACTCTTCCAGCGGATTTGTTGGTTTTACTCTCTGCTGTTCTTACCTTTAGAAACCATATGTTTACTTTCTCTCTTTCTTCTCCTTTTAATGCCTACCTAGGAACCAGAAAGTAAGTATCTGTCAACATGAAACATTTCTTGACTTACTTAGAAGCCATTTCTCTCTCCCTCCCCCCTGCAAATACCTTGGGCCTTGTTTTAAAAAGTCCTGTTGTGTTATCTCCTTTTCATTTGTTTTTCCTTTGGATGTAACAGAATGGCAGGACAAGAAAAAATCACATTTCAGTCCAGGAAGTTAATAGTTTTGTAACAAGGCTGTTTATAACCCTTCAGTTCTTTGATGTTGGCAAAACTGCCGATAGTTTTATATGCCACCGTTTTAACACAATAGCCAATGCAAATGTTTTCTAGCACGTCGTGTTGTGTGCAAGTTCCCCCCCACACACACACACTGTTTAAAACCCTGTTTTCATGGGGTTTTCTTTTCATTTCAAACTCCACGTAAATGCTGAGCTTCCTTTAACGAGGGCAGGATTTGATTCCTAGGATAGAAAGATGTCGCTGTATTTTGTGCATTTTGACCCGCAAAAAAGCACCTGGGTGTTAAAATAAAACTCCTCCCATTTTCTCCTGGCAGAAATTAGACCTCCCTCTGGCAAAATGTGCTTAAACTTATTAACAAAATACTTCAGGCCCTTAAGTCTCCCTGCTTCAATCTTTCGATAACACCCGTGTCTCTCTCCTACTTCTTGGGCTGGTATCTTATTCTTTGATCTGCTTTAGATCCAAGACCGATGGTATCCAACATTTCCCAAGATAATGTTTATGTCAGGAGCACGGTTAAAATGTTTCTTGTATGGCTTTGTATGTGAAAAACCACATTAACGCAACACCGGGTTATAAACGAGTAGGAAATAGGAAGGCACAGCGGAAAAATATATGCTAGTGTTGGGACAGTCATATAATTTACACTAGGCTAGAAGCTACTATTACAGGTCCTGGTTTTGCCTCCCCTGAGCTAGCATTGTGATGTCAGTGACATTTGCCTGTCACAATTCCTTGGAAGTTTCACATAATGCTTTATTCCGGGGCTTAGCGCACAGCTTGTTAACACCTGACTACGACCTTGTGATGGATGGGCTCAAGGTTAGACAAGTAGATTTTTCAAATTTGTAGTCGAGGGCTCCTTTTCAAGTCTCCAACAGTAAGTAGGGGAAACCGTTACTAACATACCTGTGATGAAAAGTTGTACATTTTAAACAGCGACAACAACAAGACTCGGAGGAATAAATAGCCTGATTTTTGTCCAGGTTAATACCGAGTAATTTCATCCTCGAGTGGACCGCGTATTTGTCCACAGGGATGCCCCAAAATTGCTAGCAAGCGTTCAGAAATTCTGCCTTGGTAGCATATATATATCTGGTTTATCAAATTTCAGCACATTTAATTTTGCCAACCAGCTTCTTAAAATGTTCTTTTAATCAAATAGCCAGTTTTTCTTACCTGGGCGTTACTTTTCATTGGAATTAAAAGTTTATGAAGATGTTTTGGGCCATAAATTTGAGCCTCTTGTCCTTCATCTGGAGGGATGGGACTGGATTCTTTCGGTACAGGCAATCCTCGTTTAGCGACTGCCTTGTACAGCAACCATTTGCAGTTACGATGATGTAACTTTGCCACCCGTCCTTGCATTTATGACTTGCCTACAGCAAAGGACAGCTGTACTAAGATCATAAGTACAGTTGCAGGTTCACTTAGCGACTGCTTGACTTAACCAAGTTGCCGGTCCCAATTTTGGTCACTAAGTGAGGGCTACTTGTGTTGAATGTTAAGGGTGACAACAGAGACCCGTAGCCAGATCACTAGTTCTACCACTACCCCTCAAAACACACATTAAGCCTCTTAAGGACTTATGGGACACTTCATGCTGTTTTCTTAACCAATCATCTTCCAGGTTTTTTTTTATCTTTCTAATCTAGCCTGCAGCCCACATATTTCCTGGTGGTCTCTTGTCCAAATAGTAATCAGGCCCAGTCCTGCTGACAGCAGTGGCCAAAATTGTGGAAACCTTTTGGGAAAAAAGTGTATTTTTGAGGTTTGATGGCTAATAACACCACTTTTTTTGGAGTAGTGCCATAAAATTATATATGAATGGAAAGATAATTTAATCAAGAATGTAATGCAGCAAAGTTTGTTCAATTATCTGTACTGTATTCTATGAAAAGTTACAGCCAAATAACCAGAAAAAGGAAGCACAATTTGCTTAGGTTGATCTCAGGTAGCTTTCCTTCATCTGATTGCAGCCAATGAGCACGAGCGTTTAGAGAGCCAATCGGGTGTCCTCTTGTTTTGGCAATGAGCCAATCAGATCACAGTAGGATCCAGTTATTGATGCCATGTATTGAAGCTGAGCGGAGGACATTTGTCAGTGTGTTGTGTGATCGCCATCAAGTTGGTTGGGGTTTTTTTTGGTGTTCTTTTTTAGTGAGCTTGTAAAACCTAATAAAATTAAAGTAATGGTGCAAAGAGTTGACTGGATGTAAAATAGTATTAAGTGAACAAGGCTACAGTTACAAAGAAATTAGAAGAAAAATGGATGGAAACTTAACCAAAGGTGGCATTTCTACCGTACACTTTTCCCCAAAAGGTTTCCACAATTTTGACCACTACTGTAGCTTCCAACCCCAAGGATTGTCTCCTGCCGAGACATTAAATCCCCTTAATAAATTGGAATTTGTCTCGGACAGTATTGATCAAAGTTGGGGACTGCAGCCCAAAAAATCTTAGCCACCCCAAGACCTTTGACAGACAGGTTTCAACCCGCCCCAGTGAAGTTCTGATCTTCTCCAGAAGTGTTTCTCTGCCTCTTCCAGATGTTTAGGACTTGAGCCGCTTTCGTGACAGATGGGCGGATTGTGGGAAGGTTAAAAGTCCGAACATCTGGCAGACACAGCTGGCCTGCTTCTGCAGCTGCTTGCTGGAGTGGTAACCACGAGGATGGGCGGTTAAGAAATACGAAGTATAAGTAAAAAAATAATGTTGGCGCAGTAGATAATGACAACGGGCAGAGCTTTCTAAATAATTTGCTTAAAGCGCTTTTTTTAAAAAATAAAAAAAACCTGGTGTAATTCACACGATTAGGGCTTTGTATACAGATAGTCCTCGACTTACAATCATTTGTTTAGCGGCCATTCGAAGTTACTGTGGCGCTGAAAAAATGGGACTTAACAATCCGTCCTTGCCTTAATGACCATATCAGCATAACACACACAATTTACCTCAGGGGTCTTCAAAATTGGTCCTTTTATGACTTGTGGACTTCAACTCCCAGAATTCCTCAGCCAGCATGCCTGGCTGAGGAATTCTGGGAGTTGAAGTCCACAAGTCCTGAGAAGGCCAGGTTTGAAGACCCCTGATATAAACTTCAAGAGGAGTGGACTTCAACTCCCAGAATTCCTCAGCCAGCGAGCCTGGCTGAGGAATTCTGGGAGTTGAAGTCCACAAGTCCTGAGAGGGCCAGGTTTGAAGACCCCTGATATAAACTTCAAGAGGAGTGGACTTCAACTCCCAGAATTCCTCAGCCAGCGTGCCTGGCTGAGGAATTCTGGGAGTTGAAGTCCACAAGTCATGAAAGGGCCAAGTTTGAAGACCCCTGGTTTACAGGATCAAAATTCGGGTGTACGGCAGCCAGCATGCCTTTATGACGGTTGCGTCACCCCTGGTTTGTGGGATTGCCATTTGCGATCTTCCCAGCCAGCGTCTGAGAAGCAATGTCAACGAGGGAAGCTGGGTCCACTTAATGACCGCATGATTTACTTGATAGCTGCAGTGATTCCCTTAACCGTCATAGCAGCAAAACAGGCCGTAAAATTCACCGGGACTCATTTAACCACCGTGTGGCTTAGCAATGGAAATTCTGGTCCCCAATTGACGTCGTAAGTCGAGGGCTAGGTGTGCAAGTAGCCCTCGACTTAAAGCAGTTCATTTAGTGACTGCTCAGAGTTACAACGGCACTGAAAAAAAGTGGCTAAGGATTGTTTTCCCACACTTACGACCGTTGCAGCATCTCTGGGGTCACATGATCAAAGTTCAAGCTGTTGGCAACTGACTCACGTTTATGACGGTTGCAGCGTCCCGGGGGATCACGTGATCCCCTTTTGCGCCCTTCCGACAAGCAAAGACAAATTCGCTTAGCAGCCATGTTATTAACTGCAGTGATTCGCTTAACAGCTGTGGCAAGAAAGGCCGTAATATGGGGCAAGACTCACTTAGCAGCAGAATTGTTGGGGCTTGATTGCGGTCGTAAGTCGAGGACTACCTGTCAATGATAGAGCTCAGGGGCATTGCACGGCCCTTTCTAACTTTTCCCTTGCCAAACATCTGGTGCCGCCATTCCAGAGTTCCCAGCCGGCGGGGCTAAACGGCGCCCAGGTTGGAGAACGCTTGTCGCACTGCCCGCCTACTTGTAGTGTGTTATTTCAGCAACTGTCCTCTTGTGCTTGTCTCTTCATGCTGCCCCCGCCGGCCTCTTCGGAAGATGAGGACCAGGAAGCTGCTCTATCCCATCGAAAAGGTCTGGGTGGACAAGCATAAGTACGACGAGGCCGAGAGGCTTCACTACGAGCGAGAAGCAGCTTTAGCCGCCTCGGCTGCCCGGCCTGGCCAAGAGCTGGTCGCCGTCAACGGTTTCTGCCACGAGGAGCGTGCCGAGGAAGAGTTGCAGGCTGAGCTGCGGCGGGCAGGGAGCGGCAAGAAGCAGAAAAAAAGGAAGTGTTCCCCCAAAGCCAGGTCTTGGGACCCCCAAATAGATCCCGTCTTGGTGGGGCTGCTGGCTGACCACGTGTGGTTTGACAAGCCGCGCTTTGACCAAGCGGAATCGGCCTACCACGTCAAGCTTGCCGACTCGTTGCCCACTCTGCCCTCGGTGGGGCTTCCAGATGTGGAGACAGCTGCTGCGGTTCTTTGGCCTGAAGACGCCGTCCAGGCGGACGCCGAGCTCGGCAGAGACCTGCCCGTCTTGCGCTGCAACCATGGTGGCCTCACGGCATGCCACCACGTTGTCCAGGACGTGTGGCTCAACAAATTCCACTTTGACGACGCAGAGAAGGTCTTTGTCGAACGGTCGCAACTTCTGACGCTCCCCTACTTGCTGCATCCACCCTCGGTTCTGAAGCTAGCCAGTGCCGGGCCCGTCACGCCGGACGAGGGCTACGTGACGGCCTTGGCTACTCCTTCCACCCCAGCCCACGTGGCCGATGCGGAGAGTCACGTCACCGGCGCTCCGGTCATCCCGGCAGACGACGCAAACCAGACGGTGAACGGCAAACCTCCGGGCTCGGGTTTGCGAGCTCTGCTGTCCGAAGTTTGGCTGGAGAAGCCGATTTACGACGACGCCGAGCGGTGCTTCTACGCCAACATGTTTGATGGCCACCCTCCCGGAAAGGTGAGGCTGCAGGAGCGGGGCCACGCGGATCTCTCCAGAAAGGGCCGGAAAGAGAAGAAGAGCCGGAATAGCCTAAGGAAGCAGCCGCCGGGCAAGCGGGGGAACACCACCGCCGCTGGGGCTCCGATGCCCCAGGAAATTTCAGGAGCTGCACCACCACAACCTCACGCCTGGCACTTTATGCACCCGGACACGGAATCTTTGTGGTTCAGCAAACCCACATATGACAATGCAGAAGCCGCCTTCTACGCCTCCCTTGCCCAAGAAGAGGCCACCAGACTGTCTGAAGCCACGCAAGCCGCAGCCACCCAGCCCACCGCCCAGCCTCCGAGCGCACCAGAGCCTGAATCTAAGTAGGAAAAGCATGTGGTTGGGGGCTTTGGGGCTGGTGGAGGTGGGTGTTCTCAGTCCCAACAGCATAGCTGTAAAGAATCAGCCCCAGCATGCAGAGGACGTGGGATGTGCTGTCGTTGTGCTGTCACAACCGGGATTAAGGTGCTTCCGTTTGGCAAGGAGCATTCTAGAAAATAAAACGAAATTAACCCTGTTTTAGGAGAACCTAGAACTAAGGAGAAATTTCCTGACAGTGAGAACAGTTAATCAGTTGGGACAACTTGTGAATGCTCCAACACTGGAAGTTTTTAAGAAGAGATTGGACAGCCATTTGTCTGACATGGTATAGGGCAGGGGTAGGCAACCTTGGCTCTTTTATGACTCGTGGACTTCAACTCCCAGAATTCCTGAGCCTGCTATGCTATGCTATGCTTTGCTGGCTCAGGAATTCTGGGAGTTGAGGTCCACGAGTCATAAAAGAGCCAAGGTTGCCTACCCCTGGTATAGGGTTTCCTGCCTGAGCAGGGGGTTGGACTAGAGGACCTCCAAGGTCCCTTCCAACTCTGTGTGTTCTGTATTCTGGGAAGGGACTCCGTTGTTCCAAAGTTAAGGACAGGGTTTGAAAAGAAGTGGTCTCTTGTCTGTTGTGTTTCGGTCGACTTTGACAGTTGTGTGCCTAGGGCATTCCTGTTAGTTAATGTGGGATGAAGGAAAGTTTCGTTCGGTGAATCTAGATTCTAAAAGACCCCCCCAGCCCTTAATGCTTGTCTGCATGTCATGTGTTGGTTGCCTGCTCAGCCCGGTCTCACTTGGGTGTCAGATTTGTGCGCCACCCGAGTCTCGCCCTCTACAAAAACCGGGCCCTCCGTGGCGGGATGGGACAACTTGCCGCAGCCAACTTGCCACGGGACACCAACCCCACACCTTGTCGCGGCGGGACCATTCGACAATTCAGTTCAATTATTTAAAATAAGCAATTAAAAAAATATTTCCATTTTTGTCATTCCCCTTTCATTCTGTCCCTCCTTTGTCATCCTGTCTTTAAAGCAGTGTTTCTCAACCTTGACCATTTTAAGGCATGAGGACTTCAACTCCCAGAATTCCACAGCCAGCATTGCTGGCTGTGGAATTCTGGGAGTTGAAGTCCACATGCCTTAAAATGGTCAAGGTTGAGAAACACTGCTTTAAAGGATTCCATTCCACTATTCCTTCGATGTTAGTGTAACTCCCGTCCGTCAGCGAGTTGTCGCACGTTGAGTTGGCTGTGAGGAGTTGTCGCACAGTGAGTTGGCTGCGGCGAGTTGTCGAAGACCCCCTTGTTGTGTTTGTTTGTAGAACTGAATCCAAACTGCTGCTTCATCAGAAGGGAGACCAGTGTCTGGAGATGTTTGGAAGGATAAAGTAGCCTGGATACTTGGTGGAGTTTTACGCAAGGAGGAATGGAATAAACCAGATTTTTAGATGCCTCTGAAATGTACTTTTGATGGTGTTGGTGGTATTCCTTGCTCTAGGCACAGGGGTAGGCAACCTTGGCTCTTTTATGACTCGTGGACTTCCAACTCCCAGAATTCCTGAGCCAGCCATGCTGGCTCAGGAATTCTGGGAGTTGAAGTCCACGAGTCATAAAAGAGCCAAGGTTGCCTACCCCTGCTCTACGCCATCTCTACTTTAGTAAGCAACTCTAATGCCAGCTGATGCTCTGTGATAGCTTTTAAATCTTTTGCTCTGTGATTTTATTTGCCCTGGTTATTTGTGGTAATCCATTTGCCCGACTCTCCCCTTCCAAATTCCCACCCTTGCAGAGAGCATTTATCTGCTTCGCTGCTGAATCCCAACCCCGCATCCAGCATTTTATTACCACGTGCATTTTTTAAAAAAAATTGCTTCTCTTCAAGAGGCAGATTCAAGGTTGAGAGGTTTGAGATTCCTGCTTATCTTTGAATTACCAGGCAGACCGATCGAGGGGTTTCCACCCAAACAGTTTGGGAACTGGCCTGTTGTAAACAGTTGTGTGTGCTTTTGTTCAATCCCTTGAGCGCCCTATCCGTGGAGGCCTGTTCAGAGTGTACTAAGAAGGTTGGGGTTCCGCTAAGCCCATCATGCTGTGCCGTTTAAGGATCGGGTGCCGCTTGTAGTGACGGCGTCTACATATCTTCTGAGAAAAAAAAAATAGCCAGATTTGCAACCGGTAGTTGAGTTCTGATCAGTTTTTAAGTGTCAAGACGGTTCGAGTAATTGCTGGTTCGATTGCATTTTGGTCAGCTTTTTCGCTGGGGGATTCTGGGAGTTGAAGTCCAGAAGTCTCAAAAAGGTGCCAAGGTTGGACGCCCCTGATCTAGAGCAGGGGTAGGCAACCTTGGCTCTTTTATGACTCCCAGAATTCCTGAGCCGGCTTGGCTCAGCTTGGAAACCTCTCCCTTTCCCCTCAGCGTGGCTGGCTGAGGAATTCTGGGAGTTGAAGTCCACAAGTCATGAAGGGGGCATAGTTCCCCCATGCTGGCTGAGGAATTCTGGGAGTTGAAGTCCACCAGTCATAAAAAGAGCCAAGGTTGCCTACCCCCTGATCTAGAGGGATGGGTGTGCGACTTCTTACCGGAGACAACCCTGAGGGATGGAGAGAGGTGCCGTCGGAAGGGCTCGTGGTCGGTCATTCGGTGACCTGACCCTAAACCAGCATTTTCAACTATTTATTTAGTCTCCTCCTCTTTGCAGGAAAATGGCAAGCCACTTCCTCATGCACGAGAAGATCTGGTTCGACAAATTCAAATACGACGATGCTGAGAAGCGGTACTACGAGCAGCTGAACGGTCCGGCCCGCAGCTCTGCCTGCCAGAAGGTAAGATGATAGTATCTCCTGTGTCCGAGCCACAGGTGCCCTCTTCATTTTGTCTGGTCCCACACAAACGGTGCTTCTACCTGCGATTGTGAATTCTCTCCCCCAGTTCAACTCTGATCCACCCAAGCTAGGTTTTTTTTTTTAAATTCTGCCTTGATGTCTCCACAAAAGGCCTTGAAAACCCATTTCTGTCTGCCTTCCCTGCCAATTTGGCTTCCCTTTGAGGGGTATCGTTGAGAAAGCCCCCAAAGAGCTGGTGGCAAACGTGGTCCTTTGCCCCTAACAACTCCCACCCCCAGCGTGTACAAATTGTGTGCCATCTCTGCTCGGTCATCGGCATCCTACCTCGATTCATAGGAAGTATTTCTCCGGACCGTTTTTAGCTCCGGTCCATTTGCCTTCTTTTGCCAGTCAGCTTTGGCATCTGGCAAGCTTTGAGCTTCCCAATAATTTTTGTGGTTTTTGGCAAGGAAGGTGGGGCAGGGGGGGTTACCGGCAAGGAGAGTCAATGAATTGGTTGACAGTTGTGATCCTTCGTGGTGGTTCCCCAGGACCCTTCAGAGTAATAGGCAGGTAGGTAGTCCTTGTCTTATCACCACAATTGAGTCCAAAATTTCCTTTGCTAAGCGAGACAGCTCCTAAGTGAGTTTTGCCCCATTTTTACGACTAATAATAATAATAATAATACCATTAGTCAATTGCAAAAGGCGGCCTTCCTAGGAACCGCTTCCATCCTGCGATGAGATCTGTAACACCATCAAACATCCACATCTGCCTATCCCAGGTCCCGGGTAAGGACTCGATAGGTAGACAAAATGCCAAATCCAGTCTGAACATCTGGCTGACTGTGCGATGATCCATAATAATAATAATAATAATAATAATAATAATAATAATGATGATGATGATAATGATGATGATATAATAATAATAATAATAATAATAATAATAATAATAATAATATAAAAATACAAAGACCTACAAATAGAAATAGACTGTGGCAAAAGCAAGCAAGGGTAGTACCAATAGTAATAGGTGCCTTGGGTGCCATCCCAAAACAACTGGAGCACCACTTGGACACCATCATCGGCATTGACAAATTCGCCATTAGTCAATTGCAAAAGGCGGCCTTACTAGGAACTGCTTCCATCCTGCGACGAGATCTCTAATACCATCAAACATCCACATCTGCCTATCCCAGGTCCTTGGGAAGGACTCCATGGGTAGACAAAAATGCCAAATCCAGTCTGAACATCTGGCTGACTGTGCGATGATCAATAATAATAATAATAATAATAATAATAATAATAATAATAATAATACTAAAGGGTTTTTTTGCAGATTTTTCATGACCAAAGTAGGGAACAGCAGCGATGATAGAAGGGAGACTGTCCAGTGCTTAGACTTAGACTTATATCCCGCTTCACGGTGCTTGACAGCCCTCTCTAAGCGGTTTACAGAGTCAGCATGTTGACCCTCCAATAGTCTGGGTCATCGTTTTACTGACCTCGGAAGGATGGAAGGCTGAGTCAACCTTGAATCTCATCACGATTAAACTCCTGTGCACCACCACGGCTTCCTTCCTTCTCATTTCCCTTCCTTCCTTCTCATCTTCCTTCCTTCCTTCCTTCCTTCCTTCCTTCCTTCCTTCCTTCCTTCCTTCCTTCCTTCCTTCCTTCCTTCCTTCCTTCCTTCCTTCCTTCCCAAGCAACAGCTCTTAGACTTAAATACCCCTACACAATGCTTTACACTCCTCTCTAAGCAGTTTACAGAGTCAGCCTATTGTCCCCAACAATCTGGGTCCTCGTTTTACCGACCTTGGAAGGATGGAAGGCTGAGTCAACCTTGAATCTCATCAAGTTTGAACTTCTGTGCACCACCACAGCTTCCTTCCTTCCTTCTCATTTCCCTTCCTTCCTTCTCATTTTCCTTCCTTTCCTTCCTTCCTTCTCATTTTCCTTCCTTCCTTGTTTCCCTCCCTCCCTTCCTTTCCTTCCTTTCCTTCCTTCCCTCCTTCCCTCCCTCCCTCCCTCCCTCCCTTCCTTCCTTCCTTCCTTTATTCATTCATTCTTTCCCAAGCAATAGCACTTAGACTTATATCCCGCTCCACAGTGCTTTACAGCCTTCTCTAAGCGGTTTACAGAGTCAACATATTTGCCCCCAACAATCTGAGTTCTCATTTTACTGACCTTGGAAGGATGGAAGGCTGAGTCAACCTTGAGCCGGTCAGGATCGAACTCTGGCAGTTGGCAGAATTAGTCTGCAATGCTGCATTCTAAGCACTGGGAGGAAGGAAGGAAGGAAGGAAGGAAGGAAGGAAGGAAGGAAAAGATAGATAGATAGATAGATAGATAGATAGATAGATAGATAGATAGATAGATAGATAGATAGATAGATAGATAGAAAGATAGATAGATAGATAGATAGATAGATGATAGATAGATAGATAGATAGATAGATAGATAGATAGATAGATAGATAGATAGAAAGATAGATAGATAGATGATAGATAGATAGATAGATAGATAGATAGATAGATCTTTCTTGGCAGATGAAATAAAATATAAAAGTTCAGGGAAACAGGGCACAACCCCTTTCTGCTTCCTTGTTCCAGTATTTTTGCCTGTCCCACCCACAACCCCCCTCACTTTTCCATTTTAATTTCTAAGTCCTTGACTGGGGACAGAAGACCTTTTTAAAGCCCCTTAATATGGAAGGGTATTTTAATTCAAATTTGGGAGCACCGAATTTAAGCCTCCTTCCGTTCGATATACATAACCGGCCAGAGAGGCACGCAAACCTGATGGGCAATATAGAAGTAAGACAAATAAATTACTCGTCTTGAAGCAGTGCTGGCCGGAATGTCCTGGGGATAAATTAACATTTTGTTGTATTTCTCATTTTCTAAAGGAACCTACTGACCTGCATTTGGGCCAGATACCCACAGAACACACCGCAGTTTGCGGTGTATTTTGCATGCGTCCTATTTTACGGCAAATAATTTTACTGACAGCAGCATGAGCGTGGCTTAAAGGTGGCTTGGCTGAGCCTAGTTCCCCTCACCTGCCTAATGCAGAATTTTGTGGGTTGTTCCCCCCCCCAGATATTGCAGGACAACTTCTGAATGTAGCCATGAACAGCTAGTTTAGAGTTGACCACAACTTTTTGCAGCCATTGCTGCACACCTGGGCTGGGAAGGGTTTGATGGGCAAGTGAAGGGTGCAGAGGGCTGCAGACGGGCTGATGCAAACACACACACACACCGAATCCCAATTGTACATTGTGCGTAGGTGTGCGCCATGCATGCTGGCTAGTTCCAACTTCCTACTGGGAAGTTATGGGACTTAACTTCCCCACCCAGCTACAGGTAGTCCTCGACTTCCATTTAGTGACCGTCCAGAAGCGGTGAATGCTCCAACATTGGAAGTTTTTAAGAAAAGACTGGACACCCACCTGTCTGAAATGGTATAGGGTTTCCTGCCTGAGTGGGGGGTTGGACTAGATGAGCTCCAAGGTCCCTTCCAACTTTTTTTTAATATTATTATTATTATTATTATTATTATTATTATTATTATTATTATTATTATTATTATTATTATTATTATTATTATTATTATTATTATTATTATTATTATTATTATTAGATTGAAGTTGCAACAGCCCTGAAAAAAGGGACTGAAGACCCCGTTTCACACTTAACGGCCGTTGCAGCATCCCCATGGTCACGTGATCAAAAGATTCAGACGCTTGGCAACCGGCTCCTATTTATGACGGTCGCAGCGTCCCCCCCCCAGTGGGTCACGTGATCCCCTTTTGTGACCTTCTGACAAGTAGAGTCAATGGGGGGGGCAAGTTGGATTCTTTTAATGACCGCGCTCCTCGCTTTGTTCCCTTAACGCCCGTGCCAAGAAAGCTCGCAAAACGGGGCAAAACTCACTTTTAGCTAACTTCTCACTTAGCAACATAAGCTTGGGGGTCCATTACGGTCACTAGCAAAAGGACTACCTGTATTTCTACTGCGAAAACATTCGTCAAAGATGATTTTAACGTGCGCAATTGCGTGGAAACAACCTTGGGCAGAAAACAGCACCCTCCTCTCCCCACAGTGTCCAAGTTTGCCTTGCATCTTGGGAAAACCGCACAGTGTTGACCAGCCCATGCGAGATGGGCAACATCGAACCAAATTCGCAGCGGCCCTGGGAGATGTGTAGTCGTCCCCTTTAAGTGGGGCCAAATAACCATTACCGAAACAACCAAAAAACAACAACCAACCAACATTTAGGGACATTTAGGACCAAGATGGAGCCTCTACTGGAGACTTTTGATGATTTCCTGACTGGGACAAACATATCTGAAATCTAGCTGTACAGGTAATCCTTGACTTAACAACACTTCATTTAGTGACCGTTCCAAGTTACAACAGCAGGGAAAGACCGCTTTTTACAGTTACAACCTTCCCCCACGATCACGCGATCGAAATCCAGATGATTGGCAAAGCTGGTTTATATTTAATGACCGTCGTCGCAGCGTCCCAAGGGGGTCACGCAATCCCCTTTGGCGGCCTCCCGACAAGCAAAGTCAGTGGGTAAGCTGGAGTCACTTAACAACTGTGGGTGACTGACTTAACAGGTGCAGTAGTTCACTTAGCAACTGCGGCAAGGAAGGTTGTAAAATGGGGCGAACCCCACCGAACAGGTGTCTCACTTCACCGCAAAAATTTTGGGCTCAACTGTGGTCGTAAGTCAAGGGCTACCTGTACGCTTATAATATTTTTAGATTTATTTTTGGTTTTTTTGTATTTTTGTGTCTTGCATCGTTATCGTGATGTGAACGTGCCATATGATAAATAATAATCCTACTGGGGGAAGGCAAGGGGCATTCCAGTGGGGAGCGTTAAAATTCGCTGGTGTATCAAAAGAACCCCCAGGCAGCCGTCCCCGAACGACAGCCACACGCTTTTCCATGCGTTGCCGCGCACTGGAACTCTGCGGCAGCCATTGGCCCTTGCGTTAAGCAAGCGAATTTTCCTTCTTTTTTTTTTATCGCCCTTCCGCGATCAAGCGGGGATCCCCTCCTTGCTGGTCATCCCTACAGGGCGACTTTCAACCCTTTCCAGGGTCCCCCAGCGAAACGAAACTGGACGCGGAAGACGGAGCTCGCCTTCCAGACGTCCATGGCGGCTGCGTTGGCAAAGTGGAAGTCAGCAGGCAAATTTCCCTGCTCACACAGCCAGCAGTTGTGCGCCCTCCAAAGGGTCCCTTTCGTTTTGAGCCACTTTTGGTCACTTCTCCTGTATCTGCATACACCTCTTTGAAAAAGGAAGGAAGGAAGGAAGGAAGAAAAAGAAAAAAAACCCCACTTGGTTCTTTCTGCATGTTTGCAGGAGAACGGCGCCAGCACCATCCTGCGCGACATTGCCAGAGCCAGGGAGAATATCCAGAAGTCACTCGCCGGAGTGAGTACCTGAACCCCCTCTCGCCAGCTGGCGCTCTCCTGCTTTTTCCCCCCTAGCTGTGTCATCTCTCTCAGGCTCCCTCCCTCTTTCTCTGTCCTCCGCCTCCTCCACCTCCTCTTCCAACTCCATCTCCTACTCTTCCTCCCTTCTGGCACTGATGATGGTACCTAGTTGGGTCATGAAAGGTCTGCAAGAAAACCAGCAAGCTCAGAGAGCATCAAGGATCCTACAGTGCTCCTCCTCCTCCTCTTCCTCCTCCTCCTTGCAAACCCCACTCCCTTCTGTTAACCTAGTTGGGTAATGAATCGTCTGCAAGAAAACCACAAAGCTCAGAGAGCACCAAGGACCCCACAGTTGTCTTCCTCTTCCTCCTTTTCCTCCTCCCTGCAAACCCCTTCTAGCACTGATGATATTACCTAGTTGGGTAATGAAATGTCTGGAAGAAAACAACCAACCTCAGAGAGCGCCAAGGACTCCACAGTCGTCGTCGTCGTCCTCGTCCTCCTCCTCCTCCTCCTCCTCCTCTTCCTCTCTGCAAATCCCACTCCTTTCTAGCATTGATGATGTTCCATAGGTGGGTCATGAAAGGTCTGCAAGAAAACCAGCAAGCTCAGAGAGCACCCAGGACCCCACAGTCGTCGTCGTCCTCCTCCTCCTCCTCCTCCTCCTCCTCCTCCTCCTCCTCCTCCTCTCTGCAAACTCCCCTCCCTTCTAGCACTGATGATGTTACCTAGTTGGGTCATGAAAGGTCTGCAAAACAACGACTAAGCTTAGAGAGCACCAAGGATCCCACAGTATTCTTCCTCCTCCTCCCTTCCTCCTCCTCTCCGCAAACCCCTCTCCTAGCACTGATGATGTTACCTAGTTGGGTAATGAAATGTCTGCAAGGAAACCACCAACCTCAGAGAGCATCAAGGACCCCACAGTCCTCCTTCCCTCCTCCTCCTCTTCCTCCATCCTCCTCCGATAAACCCTGCCTGTGTGGTTCCCTATGGAGATTCTCCATCCTCCAGGTCCTGGTTGTCCCAAAGGTGCCTTTCTCCCCCCCCCCCCCTTTTCCTTCAAAAGCCACTGGACTTTTGTTTCTCCTTGAAGAGGTTTCGCTTCCCATCCCAGAAGCTTCCTCAGTTCTGCTGACGCTCCTGATCAAGAACCAAAGAAGCTTCTTGGAGGAGAAGCGAAACGTCTTCAGGCAGAAACAAAGTCCAGTAGCCTTTTGGAAAAAATAAAGGTGGGGAAAAAAGCTCTTTTCAATCTCCCTGTGTGGATTCTCCTGCCGTACGTTAGAGCAGGGGGTTGGACTAGATGACCTCCAAGGTCCCTTCCAACTTTATTACTATTATTATTATTATTAGATTGGGCGAGATGAAGTCTACCTTGCAGGGCGCGACCTATGCTC